CTGAAGAAATTAGAACATTGGATGTGTGGTCCAGTTTCTTTTCCTTTCCAGAGAGAATGTGGGAGCTGGAGTGTTTTGCCTGCCAGCTCTGCTCTAGAATGGGGAAAAGGGCTATGTCAAGTGTTTGCATGCTAGTTTGAATCACCTTCACCTTCTTTTTTCTCTGTGGCTCCCAGGTATCTAGAATATGCCAGGTCCCTCCAAGGCTCCAAGATAGAAGCCAGTCTCTCAAGTAACCCCCAGAAAAGTTGACACATTTGATGCACTCTTTCCCCCCATAGGAAGAAACTGGGAGCTGGAGTTTTTCTCCCACTTGCTGTAAGAGCTATGGTGCCTTCATGCTAGTTAAAATATGCCTTTGTTTTCTGTAGTCCTTGGGGGTCCAGTGTATGCCAGGTCCTGAAATAGTGAGATAGAAGCCAGTCCCTTGGGTAACTTCCAAAGAAGTTAGAAAATTGGATGCATGGTCCAACTCTTTTCATCCTCAAGGAGATGGTACGAGTTGGAGGTGGAGTTTTCCACCCATTCATTCTGCACTAGGCCAGGAGGAGGAGCTATGGTGAGTTTGTGTGCTAGTTCAAACTACCTTCTTTGTTCTTGGTGGCCCTCAGGTATCTTGAATCTGCTGGGTTCCAACAGCACTCTGAGACTGTTGAGACAGGTGCCAGTCCCTTAGGCAAACCCCAGAAAAGTTGGAATGTTTGACACACAGTCCACCTCTTTCCTTCTCCAGGGAGAAGCTGGGAGCTGAAGTTTTCCTCCCACTCACTCTGCACTGAGCAGAGAAAGGAGCTGTGGTGAGTGCCTGCATGCTAGTTCAAACCAGTGCTTTTGTTCTCTGTAGTCCCCAGGGGCCTAAGGTACGCCAGGTCTAATCAAGCCTCCAAGACGTCAGTTAGGCAGCCCTCAGAAAAGTTGAGACATTGGATGTACACTCCAACTTCTTTTGTATTCAGGGAGAAGCTGGATGTTTCCTCCCAGTTGTATGGCACTATGCCAGGAATGGGGATCATGGTGAGAAGGTGTCTCCAGTTTTCCTACTAGTTTTGATATAGCTGGCTCCACTCTTGCCTAGAATGTAGGATTCTCTTAACGAGTTTCTAGATTTCTCACACAGGGAATTGATCCATGTATTGCTGTTGAGTTGATGTGTTTGTGGGAGTCAGGAGAATCTAGCACTTATTATTCCACCGTCTTGCTAATGTTACTCAAAATATTACTAATTTTTGTAAGTTGATCTTTAACTTCGAAGTCCAACAAATTTACTGAAGTTAATTTTTTATTCTCTTTGTTTTTCTAGTTTGATCATTATATTATCTGCATACTGTTAGATTTATCTCTTCGCTTACAATCCTCATACTTGTTATTTCCTTGCTTATAATGGTAGCCAGGACTGTCTTAATTGGTAACATTGGTAATGGGCATCCATTACTTTTTCCCCATCTTATAGGGAGCATATCTAAAATTCTTCACTTAACTACAGTTTTTGCTATAGTTCTGATAACTTTTACCAAGTTTCAGCTATTTGCAGTGCTGCTTTGCTCGAGTTATCATAAATAGGTGTTGGCCACATTCTACAGTTTTTCTGTATCTGTCAAGATGATCATGGTAGTTGTGGTCTTATTTCAACAACAGTTATACCCTCGGATGTGTGGCCATTTTGGCCTGTGAGTTCATGTTCCCAAGAGGATATCAATCACTGTCTGGCAGTGTGTCTGGGGAAGGGCCAAGAGATAGATCCAGGTCTGTGTTCCTCCAGGTAGATTTAAGAAATGGGAGGAGATGAGCTCAGAATGACAAGCCCTGAGACCTAAGGATTCACCTCTGATAACTTTTATTTGCTATTGCTCTACCAGGTAATTCTTCTCATCAGGGTTTGATCTTTCAACATTTACAAAGCAGCAGCATCTACAGGAGTATGCCTTTCCTTTTTGTAATCCACCAACTCTAGGGGTTTTAATAGCTGAGAAGGTAGAGCAGATGCCTGAGAGCAGGTGGTCAGCCATATTCTTCTGTCCAGCAGGACTTTTTCTTTACCATTAGGTTATCCTACTTACTCAGCTGCTTGAGCAGTTGCCACCAATTTCTATGGTAAACGCACAGGCCACAGTGGTCCCAAGGCATTTCAGGGAAAGGCTAAATCAGAGTTTAAAGACTTTACTACCAGGCCAGCCTCTCCTTGCCTTCTGTTACCATCTCTCCAGGCAAGTAGCCTCCATCCTCAAATACACACAAGTTTGTACCAGTCTTCAATCTCCCTAGAATATTTCACAGTTTGCATCAGTTCCATATAAAACCAAATTCTCTATAATTTCTCCAGGGTCAATTGAGAAACGAAGCCAGAATTTTGTGCACATTCCAAGTTTAGACAGGAACTTTTGGGGTTTTTAAAAATATTTTTTTTCATTATTGTATTTTCAGTTTCTAAGAACTTTGTTTGTGTGTGTTTTCTTAGTGTTCCTTTATTTAGCATCTTCTGCCTGTTTAATTGTTAGCTCTCTGAGGTTATTCCTTACATGTTTTGACATTTTCTTCTGTTCCTTGCATTGATTGTTTCTTTCACAGATACTTTTTTCTCTTTTGGGCTCTTCATGTTAAAAAACATTTCTCAAATGTCTGATAAACAATGGCTTACTGATCATTTTTAAGTGTGAGATACTAAAAAGATGATTGGAACTTCTGTGTAGTAGGGATTGAGTCTTGTTTACTTTATGATGATCTGGTTGGGTTAATATACTGAGGGCAGCCCACTTTTGGTAACTTGGTCTTTTCTCTTACACATAATCTTCCTGTGAGAAGAGACCTTTACTTTCATTCCTAGTTGAGGGAGTTAAGTTATTATCAGTGTTCTGGGGGCTAAATTGGGATGAAATCAACAGGGTTATTTCAGTATTGTGGCCTGCACAAATTTTCTGACAACAAATGGATGTCTTACACTTTAACTTAATTCTGACACTACCTGGAGTTAACATCAGATTCCACAAGTTAAAGGGCAAGGTGCCCACCAGTTCAGATACTGGTTGCAACCAGGATCCCCAGGCTACACGTATATCTGTCTGGCTGACTAAATTTAGAGTTTCACACACCCCCTCAGGTTTGATAATTCATAGAATAACTCACAAAACTAAAAAACAAAAAGAACAACTCATAAAACTCATGAAAAGCACTGTACTTATGATTGCCATTTTATATAAAGGATACAATGAAATGTTAGCTGAAGACATACACAGGGCAAGGTCTAGGAGGTACCAAGCACAGGAAATTCTACACCCATGAAATCAAGGTGTGTCACCCTCCAAGTACATCATATAGTTACCAACCAGGAAGCTTACCCCAGTCCTTGCCCTGAGTTTTTTTTATTGGGGTTTGATTATGTAGTCATTGAGTGACCAGACCCTCCCTTGAAGCTAAGTGCCCACTGTGAATCATCTCATTAGGAAAACTCAGGTATGATCAAAAGGAGCTTGTGAATAACAAAAGACTCTCCAGTCAGGAAATTCCAGTGGTTTGTGAAACTCTGTGCCAGGAACCAGGAACAAAGACCAAATATATTCTTTATTTTATCACAAGTATATGTATTTTTTGTTAATCTTTTGTTCTCAGTTCAGTACCCATAACCACAGCTATGCCTGATGTTCCTGAATCCAGATTCCCTCTGGTTCCATTTTTCTGTATTTCTAGTTTTCTGTGAGAATAGGGAAGTATAATCCTGTGTGGGATAGGGGAAAGGATCCTAGGGGTCTCACTACTAATACAAACTTGAATTCATTCTTTAGCTTTCAGCATTCTCTGTATCCCACTATTAGAAATGCCTGATGCCTTCAATTCTGCATTTTCAGGGATCTGCACTATCAGTTAGTGCTGTTGAATTCATCCACTACAGGCTCAGTTTGGCTTCTCTGGTCTGCACACTCATTTATATCACTCATTCATTGGCTTTTTAGCTTTCAGATTTTACTGCTACTGTCTCTTCTCCACTATTCATTGTCCCAGTGAGGTTTTTCTTTCCTCTTGTTAAGCTTCTACTGTAATTTTCCTATGGATTAATGAACAAGCAATGGAAAACTCACAGGTTTTCTGTCATTTTTAACAGAAATTGTTCCCCTTTTTAATTAAAAGTACAGTTCACACTCTTTACAGATTCCATATGTATGAATTCACCTACTTGCTAAAATTTGTAAACTCAGAATCAATACTTGCAGTGCTTTCATGGCATGCATGAAATGACAAAACATGCAGAATGACAAAAAATGTGGACATGGAGCACCTCTCTTCTCAGAGTATATTTCATTCTTACTCTCTTCTTTCTCTTATTCAAGCTGCCTCCTTTCTTAGTCACTGCCATGAGAGAGATTCCATTGCTCTCTCTCCCAAAGTCAGCATCAGAGAATTCCAAGGCAAACTATTTTCAGTGAACCCCCAGTATATCAGGCTCTATCCATAGAATTACCTGAAACCATTCTTGCCAGTTTCATTCAGCACCTTAGACTAGGGTATCCCCCAATGTGGATTTGCCAACAGTACACCCTTTGCACAGTCTTATACTGCACCCCCCCATTTATACATTTCAATACATTTATTCCTCAGTAGTCTTTTTACGTAGGTCAATTACCCACAAATTATAAGACATACAATATGATGCTGTGTGTGAGGGTATATGCTTATAAACATGTATATATGGTTAGAATCACTATAAAATATGGAGGGTACCCCTGAGTAGGGTGTATTTATGGAAGTTTCAGGTGATTCTGGTTCACATCAGAATTTCAGGATAGAGGTCATTTATTTCCCTAATCACCCTCTTGAATTTCCTCTCTTGGCTCTCCTCAATGTCCATGCTTTTGTTATCAGTTTTGAAAATTGCTTAGCCATATTTGAGAACTGTTTAAGCATTTACTTTCCCAGATATTATTTTCACCTTAATCTTTTTTTCTTTTTTAGAAGTTTTAATCTCTCCCAAGATAGGAAAAATGAACACACGCATTTTTATTTTCTTTCAGATCTGGAATCTATGTGTGAGACCAAGATATTATCCCTAAAGAAGAGACATTTTAGTCAAGTAATATTTACCCATGAAGACATGCCCACTTTTATTCAGCCCACATTTCTTACTCCACATCAAAAAACTGTTAATGAAGAGAAACCCTGTGAATGTAAGATATGTGGAAAGGCCTTTAATCAGAACTCACAATTTATTCAACATCAGAGAACTCATTCTGCTGAAAAAAGCTATGAATGTAAGGAGTGTGGGAAGTCCTTTAGCCGTGGCTCACTTGTTACTCGACATCAGAGGATTCACACTGGTGAAAAACCCTATGAATGTAAGGAATGTGGCAAGGCTTTTAGTTGTAGTTCATATTTTTCTCAACATCAGAGGATTCACACTGGTGAGAAACCCTATGAATGTAAGGAATGTGGAAAAGCCTTTAATTATTGCTCAAACCTCAATGATCATCAGAGAATTCACACAGGTGAGAAACCCTATGAATGTAAAGTATGTGGAAAAGCCTTTACTAAGAGTTCTCAACTTTTTCCACATCTGAGAATTCATACTGGTGAGAAACCTTATGAATGTAAGGAATGTGGGAAAGCCTTTACTCAACACTCAAGGCTTATTCAACATCAAAGAATGCATACTGGTGA